GCCCCGCACAAACAGCCGCGGGAAGGGCCGGGCGCCGCCCGGAGGCGCCCAGGGGATCGCTCCATCACCGGCCACGAGCTATGTTATCGCTACGTTAATTCCTTCACGTTTCCTGAGGCACGTCACTGTTTGTGGAAACTTGCAGCCCTGCAAGTTTAATACTTTATATTTGATACAGCCTTTAATACTATCAGAGCACCAAAGTGGTTCTTTTGTGTGAATCTGTTTATCTACAATCAATCTTTTGTAAAAAATATAAAAACAGTATGAAATGTAAGTTAACAAATACACCTATATTACATGCAGCAGCAAGCCAGGAACACGGTGCTTTCTACTTATTTTTTGAAAGCTTCAGCAGCAGTTAAATATTGAAAGGACTCAGCATATTTCCTTCAATTTTGTCCGGTAACAGAGCAGATATAACCACAGTGAGACCCATTATAAAGACCTTGACTTTAAAAAGCAGAATTCTGGTAAAGTGTTTTCAACACTCCCCTTTTCTCAAGTGCAAGTATTTACTTACAAATACATTATTTTTTAGTGATATAAAAGTAGGATTCAAGTGACTTCCTCACCATAGCTGAATAAAATACATTGCTCCATAAAGCTACTTCTGTTCATCGAAGCTGTTAGCAGCATTTAACTTGGCTGGAGAGGGACTCTTCGGATGAGCCATCTGTTAAAGCAAGAGCAGGGTCAGACCTTGGAGAATGAGCTTGGTACCAGTTACTTTTCAGATAAACTACAGTCTTGCTCTTAATTGATACTTCATACAAGAAAACAATTCTAGTRAATTGTTAAGATAGAAGACATTATTAATTGTCACTTTTTTTTCCTCTTGGAAAGTGGGACTATGATTCAAGAGCCAGCACAAAAACTCAGCTTCTCTTCTAAGCACCATCAACCAACCTGCTGAAAGGCAGGGCATCAGCAACTCCATTCTGTAGTTTCCTTGCCAGTAAACTGAGAAACAGTAAAACAGGCATCCTTATATGTGAACTACTTAGCTCTCCTGGATGTCAACTATAGAGACAGTAGCTTATACTAGTAATGAGCAATATAATTACTATTTAGTAGTAATTATAATCTCAGTAACACTAGCTCCTGAGGATTTTCACTTTCTATTAAGGTATTTTATGTTTTCAAGTGATCACATATATCAGTGGGACTGCACTGTAGGCAAAAAAATGTATGAAATTCCATGGTATACTGGAATTTTAAAGCCAGTTTATTTTCTTCGTTAACGGCAAACACCATGACTTGCCTGAAATTTGCGTCGTAGTGCCTGTGTCATGATCGGTGTCAACCCTGTGCCACTCTCCATGTTCTCTTTAGTATTTAGTGGAGTGCCCCCAGGACTCCTGGAAAGGTTGGAGGCAGTAAGGAGAAGTATTATTAGTTCTCTAACTTTTTAGAAACACAAAATGAGAATAGAAAGGAACTCACCTTTGTATATTGACTTTCTTAAGATGTTTTCGAAGATCTAASTGATTTTTAGTAGGGGTTCTAATGGGAAAAAACACATTATTAAAATAAAACATTCTGTAAATAGTATTCATCATTATTCTGAACATAGAAATCAAATATCAAAGAAAGGAAGAAGACTTCTTACATTAAGCAGTTTGTAATGTGAACTGGTGGCTTGGATTTRGGTCTCAGACTAATGCTCTGTAAATCTGACACAGTAATTAATGCCTGGCGTGTCTTCACTGGTGATCTTGCCTAAAGTCAGAACAGAAACATCACCACAAATGAACTTTACAAGTCCTTGCTGAACTGAAATCTAATTAATATTTATATTCTGAAAGACTTTTGTGGTTTATGGCTTTCACGCTTTTTTGAATTCTTAAGATTTAGCACAGCTTGGACAAAAACAGAGTTTATTAAAAACAAAACATACACTTTGCAAGCAACATTTTAGACAGGCAAAATAAACTCAAAATAAATTGACAACACTCATAAACATAAAGCTACATAAAAGCTATGTGTTCTTAACCTTAACTTAGGAGAACTGTCCTGTACATCAGTCCAGGATCAGTCCAGATCCTCCCATGAGATTGGAGCTAGTCACTTAATTTGTTCACTCCAACTGCCCACATGCTCATTAGAAGGCTCACTTAAAAAGCCTTGCTTTTTTCAGAAGAGAAAATATGATTTCTTGAACTCTGTGACTCTATGAGAGACTGAGAAAAGCACCACAGGAAGCTTGCCCTGATCATCCAGCTACTCCTGTGTCCTCCGATTTACCTTGTCAGTTCTCAGGTTGCTGTCCGTTTTCTTTAGTTTTACATTCAGGAGATCTTTGAGAGTGATCTGCATCGGCACATCTTTTTTTAGTGATGTTTCCTGAAGAGAGTAGAGGGGTTGGAAGGGAAATTAGACGTGGCAAGTGACAGGCTGCTCACGAGGACAAACACTCCGGAGGGACGCAGTCCAAAGCACCCAACCACAAGTAACTAAATGGAGATTAAAGAACCCAGCCACAAGAAACTAAATGGAGATTAGTGCCTACCAAGGGCGCTTTGGAGCTGCTGCCCCGTTTGAGAAGGAGAGGAGCTGGAGGTGCCCGTGGYGGGGGCAGCGGTGGYGGCGGTGGTGGTGGAGGTGGGAGAGGGGCAGGGGCAGCACACGCAGGTTGAGGTTGCACTGCCAAAGGCCTGGATGCTGATAATAGTAGATCCACCTGTGCTTGTACAGGAGCACCCAGAACTGGTTTATTGCACCGTTGACAAAGAGAGCTTTCTGAAGACCAAGTTGCAGTTCCATTCCTCTGAAAACAACAACAAAAAAAGTTTGAATAAATAATAGAATATTAAATACTCTGGCAAGCATATTGAATTTTAGAGAACAGAGCTTTTGATTTCATTCCGACCAGGAAGATAAGAAGTCTCTTATCAGACTTACTAGCCTGCAGTCAAGAGGTAACTGCAGTTTAATAATGCTTCTACAACTCCTTACATTTCTACACCATTAAACATTACCCTGCCCCATAGGAATTGAGACTGACCTGGAGTATTCCCTGTAATTGGGAAAATTCAGTTTCCAATTTTTCCAGCTTCTCTTTAAACGTATTTAGCTCACTTAGGTAGATTTGTGATGGAAATATGGTGTCTTTAACCACTTTAAGACTCTAAACATAAAAAGAAAACAAATGAGTGCTTAGAAAAAATGGCATTTCCAGAGACAAGACTATTGGGTATGATTCCTATTGAAAGCTCATTGCAAAGTCTTGCATTGTAGTCAACAGAAAAGCACAAGAGAGAGAGGCAATTTCACCAAATAATTTAGATTCATTCTGTCATTTCTGCTTTGACAACCAATCTTTGAATATTAATTGCATTTCCTCTACCACAACAGCCTTAAGGCTCACCTGGAACCCAAACAGTGACCTTCTCAAAAAGGCATTTAACTTGATCTTGAGTACAATCTACATTTGACCTGAAAAGTTCATATATGAGCGCAATCATCTCTGCTATTAAAGACATTTCCTGTCTTTGCAAATCCTCCTGATACGCAATAAAAAGCTCCAAATTCATGTGTGCTTCTAATGTCCACAGTGGCCTTGGATATTTGTCTCATACTTCTTGCACAACAGCAATCACAAAACATACTTTAAAGGTATTAGCAGACAAAATTAAATGTTTAGCTTAGTTGCAGAATCAGACTGTAAATCCTGTGCCCCATTTGCTAAAACCAGCCTCACASTCCGTCAGGAATGAAGCAGAAAAGCCTACCTGGGCAACAGTGTTCTGGCACCAGCAGTACAGAAACGATGCTGTTGTTGCAAAGGGCTTTACTACCGTTTTTACACTGGGCAAAGTGAACGACCAGACCGAAGACAGGCGGCTTTGGCCAGGTGATTTGTCCAGAGGAAGATCACCTGCTGGCCTGGGAAAGAAGAGTTCAGAACAGTTCAGAACAGTTCAGAAATAACAGAAAGTTCCATGTGAGCCCATTACCTTGGAGAGGAACAATCCGAGTCCTGGGGATTAGCAGCATTTCCTTTTTTTTCCATCAAGAATTTTGCTCTGGCTCGCAGTTTTCGTCGACGTTGCTTGTACTTTGCCATTGCTGCTAAAAAAAAAAAGACAAATTAAAAACAAATTATGGAAATTTTCCCACTTTCATGAACTGTCACAAGAAGGAGAGTAAAGAGCACGGACAGCATGTCAAAAATTCAGTTAAATGTTGGTCACAGTTATCTTAAAAGAAGTATCACGTAAAATAGACACAAAATTRTTACCTCCTGTCTCTCTCTGAGCCACTGACATACATTTGCACACAAGAAATGAGTGAAAAATAATTAGAAAATCATTTTATTGATTCAGAAGTATGAATGTTTTCTGTTTAGAACTCACTCAAAGGCTTTTGACAGCAATTTTTCTTTACCCTACACTGACAAGTATTTTGCTTTGGAAAAAAAAATGTTTCTGGAGAACATTGACAGGTTATACAAATGAAGAAAACACCAAAAGGGGGATCCAGGACTTCCTTTGCTCAAGAGGGATGCCCCTAACACCCAGACCACACTTTCYTCCCGCCGTAGATGTGTCTCAGAGCCCCCATTTTAGGGGGCAAACTTAAAAGCTGACGCTCTCTWGAGCAGCAACCTGCCCTGCGGCCCAGGGGCTGGTTCCGGAGCCACCTCAGCCAGTTCCCCAGGCTCGTGCGGGGTTTCGTGCACATGAGGAACTGAAGCTGCAGACACCATTGGAGCAGACACTACCCATCAGCAGCAGCACTTGGGTCTTTAATCCCTGTTCGGGGTTACACGACCCGCTGTCACCTCCTCTCAGGAAGGACCGTGCCGGGCAGCCCCGGCTCGTCTCAGGGCAGCCCACAGGCCGCAGCTGCCTCCCCACCGGCCGCGACGTTTCCGTGAGGCGCCTGGGGGACCCGCTTAACGCGGCCGGGGGCGCCCGGCGAGTGCTGCGGCCAGACCCCGTCCTCGCGGGCCCGCGCACGCGCGTGTCGGTGCAACCGGCTCCGCGCAGCCCCTCGCCCGCGACGCCGCCAGGGGCCAGGCGGGCGCCGGGACCTCCCACCCCCGCGACTCCCCCTCAAA